CCAGTCACCAGTCTCATTCAGGCAAATTAAGTCTTTTAAGCCACTGACGGGTTCTGCCATTGTGCTGCAGTGTGACGCCTCTATAGGGCAGAGCACACGTGCACGCTTTTTCCAGCAGTCTGGAGAGGAACACACAGCTAGCTATTGTCTGGTCAGCTGCAGTGCGAGTGTGCCGTATAACAGCACGTATTCTTAAAGCTCATCCACTCCCTGTTTCCACCCTGACTGCAGGTGACAAGTGGCACGCAGACCTTAAACTCACCAGTCGCCCAGCTGATTCCTGCAGCAGTCAAGATGATTGAGACCAGAAATTAGAGAACCTCAAGATGGTTTTCATGAAAGCAGCACCAGATTACTGTTCAAAGATGTGGCATGTGTAACCTTACAGTTACAGAGCACATTTCATACACAACGGTAATTCAAAGTGCTTTGCGTAAAAATGATTTAAAATAATCATAAAATAATCACAACAGATGTATAAAAAATAACAATAAAAGTAAATAATTAAAAAAAATGTTTTATTAATACAAAGTAATAACGCATTTGCATTATTTTACATCTTTTAGTTTTTTTAAGCTTTCCATTTCTGAATTAATACTTAATACTTAATCATATAATGCTTTATTATTATTTCATTATATATATATATGTATCGCTATGTAAAAATGTCAGTATGGTATAACCAATATGCATAAAGCCTTTTTGTTATCATGCAACCATATCGTAAATCCATACCTGTGTCATATTCAGTAAGTCTCTTAAAAATATTAAACTGACAAATGCATAGCTCCAAACATCATGAATTCTTTTTAAAATTCTTAACTTTTAAACAATTTTGTATTTTTTAATTTTTGTATTTTTTAATTTTTAAATTCCTACATTTGTTATTATTATTATTATTGTTTTATTATTATATGTGTATTATTATTGTTTAGTAAGTTTAGATGTTCGCAATAATGTTATTTCTCTTTACTTGATGGTCACACACCTTGACATTAATCAAAATATACATTTTAGAACTCAAATAATTTCTCATACATAATTTTTAGAACAAATATTACAATATATACATTTGTAAATAAAATTATCAATATCCTTGTTCTTTGTAAGCTGGCGAGCCATACAGCCCCTCTCTCTAAAAACACTGTCAACATCTGCTGTAACCTAGTAATTGGTAGCTTTAATTAAGCATGAGCAATGTGTTTATAGTGGTGAGATAAAATGCTGATTAAAGACTTACAGCACAGCGCAATGAAAATGAGAGCATTCACAATCTATGGTTTTACTGTCTGTTTAATACAGGATGGGTCATAAACTTGGCCAGAGTCACGTCTTGGCTGCTCATTTGGGTGGGGGTGGAAAGAAGCACTGCTGCCAGCCTGAATGTACCTGACGACCTCAGAGACCAGAGTCGAACAGAAACAGACTGGGTGGCACATAGTCATTACATCGCACACACAGATCAAGGCTTTATGGGAAGGGAACATTTCAGCAGGGCCCCAGAGTTTCTGCCTATGAGTGCTTTTAAAAATACTGAACTGCTCTTTCTTTTTAGAGTCAGTTTGTGTAGGTGTATCTATTCCTGTACACTTCTGTCTGGTCAAGCTTTTGAAAATAATTTAGAGATGGGATTTGTAGTAACACAAACATATTTCTATGTACGTCAATGTACCTTTTACCTTTTAACCCCCCCCCCATTTTTGCTGTCGTTAATTGTTTTATAACTTGTTTATTGCTTACAGGGGTCCTATTATGCTTTTTCACTTTTTTCATTTTAGTCAGTGTGTAGTGTGTATGTTTGGGCATAAAAAAGATCTAGAAAGTTACAAATCTCAAAGTCCACTCCAAAGGGAGATATTTCGTTTTTAAAAAATCCCTTTTCAAGAACTACAACAAACGGCTCGTTTGGACTACAGCGTTTGTTTTCCGGGCTTTATGATATCACAAAGCGGCTCATTGGAATATAATTTCAAATAATTCCCGCCTACGGAGATTCAAATGGTTGGGGGGTGGGGAGGGGCGAGGTCCGTGTTTGTGTTTGCAGCTTTCTGCTCAGGAGACCGTCAAAGGTTTCTAATTACGTCATGTTTTTGCAGCGTTGAGCGATGTAGCCAATCACAGACATATCTGTCGATTTTTTGGAACGCAACAGCCAATCAGAGGCGTTTAGAAACTCTCAACGCTGAAAACGCCGAAGTATTTGTACAGCGCTGAGTTCTCATTTTAACAAAACATAGACACGATGTAAATTAGAGATTAATTGCAGTATAGAGAACTTCATTGATTATTATTATACTAAATATATAATATTTGGATGGATATATATAATATATAATATAAATATATATATATATATATATAGAAATGCGGGGTTCACTCTCAAAACTGCAAGTGATATATTGATAATCATAGCAATGGACGGACAAAAATAAATGTCAAAATAGATGTGCATTAATGCTAGAGCATCCTCACTAATTTCAGAAGCAACCTGCTGGAGCCGGTCCTAATGTGTCTATACAAATGCTGATTTTGAAAAAATGATTTCCTGATAATATCCTATCCTGAGAAATGGAATGTAATGACAATAAACTAAATGTCCATCATAGTCCACACGTTTAGAATCGTTAGAGAGCATGTCATCAGGACTGTTTTCTCATCTCATTCCGGACTCTTTCCCATGATCACGATAAGAGAGAATAAAAAAACAGCATGATTCATTCTAGTACCTCGTGGTAAACGGCTCGCGCGCTCACGCTGCACATCTATGGAAACACAGTTTCCGCATTCCTCGCATACCGGCGGCAGAAGTGCTGGGCACGACTCAGCCGGTGAGCGGTTAGGAGATGCTCTAGCCAAACAAACATGCATAGTGTGACGCTTGAAACACTGAGAATTTGGTTTAAATGATTATATTTCGCGCTGGTGTTGAGTAGAATTGACAAACTCGGCGCTTTCCAGATTTGCCCTTAAATGGTCAATGACGTTTCCGGGGTTCCACTGCGTAATCAGAAACGGGCTACGTCAGACGCACAGTCAGCTCAGGGAATGCCCTGAAAATAGTCCATGTCTTTCATCTCAGAGGAGACTAAATTTGGAAACTCTGATTCCTCATTTCTATTATTATCCCTTGATAACAAGTCTATCTTTAATCATTAATATCGAGTTCACTTTGGCAGTGGCAGTAAAATACTAGCATTTGTTGCTTTAGATTAACAGTAATGCTCAAAGAATATCACAACAACTTGTATCTGATTCAGAATAAATATTATAGTTATCTAAATACCAGGATGGTGGTGTTTCGCTTGTAGAATCTCATAGGATGCACTGTTTGTTTTACAAACAACTGTTTGCACATGCAGTTCTTAACCTTTCTAAGCATTCATGACCTCTAGACTGGACTATTGTAATGCACTGCTAGGTGGTTGTCCTGCATCTTCAATAAACAAGCTACAGGTAGTCCAAAATGCAGAGGCTAGAGTCCTTACCAGGTCAAGAAAATATGATCATATTACACCAATTTTACAGTCTCTGCACTGGCTACCTATTAAGTTCAGTATCAGTTACAAAATATTATTACTTACATATAAGGTCCTTAATGGGTTAGCTCCTGCATACCTAACTAGGAAACTTAATTTGCTGTAAAGTTGCTTTGCAATGATTTGTATCGTGAAAAGCGCTGTACAAATAAACTTGACTTGACTTGACTTGACTTTCTAGAGTTCACAACGCTGACCTGAACAGCAACTGGATGGATCTGGAAAAACAAAGCTCACAAAGAAATGTGCCAGAGTTTTACCGAAGGGTGGTGGTAGCTTAATAGTTAAAGCTTTGCCCTAGTAACCCAGACCAAGCTGTGACAGGATGACAGGAAGCATAAACTAGCATCGCCATTTTGCCCTTCAGGAAAACACGATCCCAGTCTGCCCAGTGGGACTGCTGTTGTAAAATGTAGCCTACTGTCACAAATGATCTGCTACATAACAGTTGCAGATTGCTATACAGACAGTAAGACACCTGTGATAAGATATCTGTAGTATAACTTCAGATCACTTACTGAAAAGCTATTTAATATGGATCAAGTTGTCAGATCCTTTTCTGGAAGTTATGCAAGCCCTGCACAATCTCTTTATGAAGGAGCAGAGCTTGCCAAAGTAGACAAAACTCGACATGAATTACTTGTAAAGTCTGCATTCCTGTCAGTACGGTGTCGTAATTAACTGTGTATCGGTAAGGATATGACGCTGATTCCAGGACAAGAGGATATTAAGACTATCCTTTGGCAAACTGTGTGATTTGTTTGTACTTCACTTAGAGCTTTCTTAACATTTCCTCTGAATGTATCCACACCTCAGTGGGGCAATTCCCTTTCACTTATTGCCATAGAGTCCATGCTAAATTTGGCAAGACTTTTCAGGGAAGTTCACCAGGAAATGTTTTGTTATTTTGACCAAGTAAATATTGTTTTGAGACTGTAGTGGCACTCATAAGATACACCCCCCTCCCCCTCCCAAAAGCAAAGCATCAGACAGAGGTGTACAATTCAAAGTCAATAATTTATTGAAAACAATATTGCATTTGACAAGACTAGCAATGCATATATTACTCTATTTAAATTACTGGATATAACTTACATTAATTCATAGCATGTATTTTTTAATAACTCAGAGTTCATATTGTTTCACAAACACTGTCCTTCTCAGTGCAGTCTAACAGAAGCGATTGCAGTCCATTTGTAGCTTGGCATCAATCCTACTGCTAATAAAGTCCGGCATATACACAGATCATTCACTCAACATTTCGAAATGTTCGTCCCGCAGTCAGTGATAGTGACGCACACTCGTTGCTTTCCAACCCACACTGCACATATGAAGCCGGGGGCGACCGCGCGCCCAAGCCGCCCGCGTGCAAGTTCTCCGACAGCTTGCGCCGACAGGCAGCGTTTCACAGTTCATGTTCCCACAACTTGTTCCTCCGGTACCCAAAACGCCCACCTTTTTCCCCAACGGAGGACACGACAAGCTGGAGGGGTAGGGCGGAATGTACCGGTCCGTGCGCACAGTTCCAAGAGCTCCACTTTCTCTCTCACAGCCCCTTCGCATGACGCAGCAGTCAACGGCTGCTGGTGCCGAGCCCTTTGGCTTTCATTCGCAGAGAATGACTCTTTCATCCTTCATTGCATCAATAGCCTCGCAACTCGTTCAGCGTTCTTGCAGGGACAGATATGGAATCCATTGGTTTTTGCAACGGCTCTCTTCACAGTAGTTGCCCACGTCCTTCAGTGCCTGGCATTTGAGTGGTTGGCATTGAGGGTTCTGTGAAAATGCATGAAATGCAACGTAAGTCGATGTCATAAGATATTAACTTATTTAACTCTGAATGCACGTTGCATGTGATAACGCAGTTTGCGAATTAAAGTCTACTTACAGTGACTAGGATGCAGTGGAAATCCCTTGGCTCGCTGTTATCCACGGTTGGCTCACCGAGCACCTGTGCGAGGCGTCTCAGTCCAGACACCCGCAGGATGTTGATGTCGTTGTCGCAGCAGAACGCCTGAAGGAGCGTGAAGTGAATCTGCAGCGCAATATCGTCCTGGTCCTCTTCGTCGGTGGCCAGAACGCACAGTACGGCACAATCTGGGTCTCTGTAGATCAAATGAATTGCATTTAGTCTCCTGTTTGTTAGGATAAAACAGTATGGTTACATGTGTAAAAGTCAAGACATAAGTATATACTTACACATTCATCAGTTTTGCCGACTCATAAACGCCGACTGTAAGACAGTCCTGTCTCTGTGCTGCTACCAGCAGCTCTTCCAATGCTTGGCTCACGGTGTCCATTCTGTAAAAACATGCAGACTATGGTAAGCGACAATCGGATAGTACTCTATACACTAAGATACCCATTGAGGAGATCCACATTGGATATGTATGCATGCAATGAAGAACTTACTTTGTATCAGTAATATTGCATCCAACGACTTCTTCCAGGGTCATTTTGATCCAAATAATAGTAATCCACAAGTCTCCGGAAGAGCTCGGAAATATTAAAATCCAGTCAAAGTGTGCTGCCAAAAGTATAATCCAAATATCGTTTGGAGTTGTAGTATTCCTTTGCTCGTTTCGCTGTCTGAGAAGTTGTTTCTGCCGACTTCTAGCGAAACCCTCGCCTATATACCGCTTTCGAGTGGGCGCGGCCTTGCAAACCGCTCGTCTTTCTCATTGGTTAGAAATGTTCCACAAGCGTCTCGCTCTCGCTTTGCCATTGGTGGTGAGGGAAACTCCTGCTTAGACCCCACGTGGGCTGATTCGGGGAATCAATGCCCAAACAGAGAGTACAACGTGCACTTTAATAGCTATCAATTTGTTTGTACTGAGTACGATGGAATTTCCTTATGGAAACGATGGCCTTTCCCTGTTGCTTTCGATGTGCATGTTGCAGTTATATCTGAAACCTTTGCATCATGTACAAAACTTAATGAAGCCAAAATATTACTCCGTTTTAATTTATATTCAGGTTTGAATCGCAAGTGTGGCACATATATGGGAAAGGAATGGTGAATATATCATATTTTTCTCAAATGTATAATATTTGGGCACATCCTGAAATTGCACGAGCCGGTTGATCGAAACTCCCTTGCATGATAAGGACTCATGACTCCGAATTCTCATCCTGATGCAAGTAGTGTGCACAGTTAGTCTGCTGCAGAGGCTCTAGAAGGCAGTAGAGATTCTGTCTCCTTGTTACCTGAAACTTTCATCACCCAGGCTGTTCCAGTTCCACCGGCTAATCATAGACGGCACAGTCACAGGATCAGAGCTGTTGATGTTGTCATGGGACCTTGTTGTGCTTGGGTTACGAAACCCGTCACTGGGGTCAGCAGCTTAAAGGGCACTTAATTGTTTGTTTGATTGATTTACTTTCCTCAATAGAAATGCCTTCAGAGTCAATTCTGTCATAATATTATCACATTGTGTTTATGTCCGTGCAACATTACTTTCAGACATGGTTTGCACATTTAAGTGCACTTATGTGTTTCAAATGAATCTTAAATTACTTTTCAAATCAGTCATATTAATCTATAACCTAAATCAATTGAACTTAATGGAATCAATTCACTGTTCCAATGCGCCATCTGCTGTTAAATGCTTATAGCGCAATAAATCATCTGTTAACTCTCTGGAAAACAACTTGAAATCAGAAATTTACTGTAATTTTGTCATAAGCTGAATTATGCCATAAATTGTAATTAATAGTAAAGAAATTTTGTTTAAAATTTTAAAAGTGACGAAGAGTTCTACTACGAGGTTGAAGCCAAGCACGTCAGCAAATAACAGAACCATCTTCTATCAACGAGTGCCAACTACTGGTGATGATATGTCATGACAATTTCATTGTAAAATGGCTTATCAATCCAGTTGCAGGGTAAATTGTTTATGAACTTAAGTCTTCTATTAGTGGAACTTTTCTGTCCCCTACCGTTATTTAAAAGTACAAATGCTTAAAAAAACAATTGTAGTTTACAATGACTTCAATGACTTATAATGACTTCACTTTTTATTTTGTAAATACTTTTTGGTAGCATTGCCTGCCCTAACCAGTCAAAATTTTAGAATTTTATCTCAGAAACAGTTCTAAGGTGCATTGATTGCTTGCTACCTTGTGGTTGTAGAAATTGCGAAGATGGTTCTGTGCGGTGTTATTAAATCTATCAGCAATAGCTCTTATTCCGGTCACACCGAGTCGCTTACATCTACAAAGGCAATTAAATTACTTTTCAAATCAGTCAAATTAATCTATAACCTAAATCAATTGAACTTAATGGAATCAATTCACTATTCCAATGCGCCATCTGCTGTTAAATGCTTATAGCGCAATAAATCATCTGTTAACTCTCTGGAAAACAACTTGAAATCAGAAATTTACTGTAATTTTGTCATAAGCTGAATTATGCCATAAATTGTAATTAATAGTAAAGAAATTTTGTTTAAAATTTTAAAAGTGACGAAGAGTTCTACTACGAGGTTGAAGCCAAGCACGTCAGCAAATAACAGAACCATCTTCTATCAACGAGTGCCAACTACTGGTGATGATATGTCATGACAATTTCATTGTAAAATGGCTTATCAATCCAGTTGCAGGGTAAATTGTTTATGAACTTAAGTCTTCTATTAGTGGAACTTTTCTGTCCCCTACCGTTATTTAAAAGTACAAATGCTTAAAAAAACAATTGTAGTTTACAATGACTTCAATGACTTATAATGACTTCACTTTTTATTTTGTAAATACTTTTTGGTAGCATTGCCTGCCCTAACCAGTCAAAATTTGAGAATTTTATCTCAGAAACAGTTCTAAGGTGCATTGATTGCTTGCTACCTTGTGGTTGTAGAAATTGCGAAGATGGTTCTGTGCGGTGTTATTAAATCTATCAGCAATAGCTCTTATTCCGGTCACACCGAGTCGCTTACATCTACAAAGGCAACAGTTACTGTAATTATAATATGCTTAAGCACACATTATCCTGAGTGTGGTCCTTCTTGGCTGCGAAGAGTGTTATATAATTAGCAGCAGGACTTCAGACGACCTTCATCGTGCTCTCTGCAGCATGCCATAGGCTACGTGAGGAAAAACTTGTCCTAAAACACAAGTTATGTTAACCGTTCTAATATACAGGAAACCTAGTAGGGGCTGTAGTCCTGCACTACCGTCTCACGGATCCCCCGTGGTACCTATTCATTTGGAATACACTTTGCACTTAATCTTGACACCTCATCCCTCACAGTACACACACAAGTCGGGTTCAAGGTGGGTTTGCATAAAGTCTACATGCAGGGTCTCCAAATGAGTCGCAAAGTAACTAGCATACCCATTAAACATTTAGTAAGGTCGTGGGAACAGAGTCTACGTGTAATTGAGTGATTAAGGGAAGTTAAGTGTAAATAATACGGCTGGGGGTCTTTATTTTTGGTGGTTACGACAAAAAAAAAAAAATTTTTTATTATGCTTAACGGCGCTTTGCCTTCAGTGCGCATGTGCGTATGTACTATCAAATAGCCTTTTTCGAATGTTCATAAAATCGAAAATGTGTTTAAGAAAAACCTGAAAGATTGAAAATGTTTTTTTTTTTCCTTATGAATTTATAATTTACCCTCGGTCGTTTCAGAGCAAGCGTGTCGTACGTCGCCCAGTAGACCTCTTTTATAATTGTGACGTAAGGACGTATAAATCAGTATTCTAGAAAGAATCGCCTGTCTTCAGGTGATGTGTGGCGGTATACGGGGAAACATACAGGGAAGACGTCAGGTAGGATGTTTACAACACAGTTTAACTAACTAGCCTACCTACTAATTACATTTTTAACGTCAAATAAACTTCAGTCTTTGTCAGTGTTATAAAAAAAATTATCTGTCAACAGCATGTCCTCTCCCGGTTTTACTGTCGTCTTCCATTGTGAAGACACTCAGTAATCGAAGGGGTTGTTCTCATACACTGATGATGGGTTAAATGATAGTTTGGACGGGTAAGTTAATGGACAAGTTTGAGATGTTTTAGAAAATATATGACAAAACTGTTTTTCAGGAGTTCAACTGAGTTGACCGATGTTTTTGAGGAGGAATTCTGTGATGGTGAACTCTGGATTCCTCCAAATGATGATTTGACACAAAAAAATTGCTGCCCAACTGGAGAACTACCTTTCTGATGAGAATCTAGCAGATGATGCTTTCCTGCTAAAACATGTCCAAAGAAATAAGATGGGTTATGTTAGTTTGAAGCTGCTGACATCTTTCAAGAAGGTGAGATCAAATAACCAACATCTTCATCTGATTTGAAGTGTCATGATGAAATAAACTTTAAAAAAAAAGTTTTACAGATTGTACTTAAATTTAGTCAAAAAAAATATATACATTTCATTAACTGATTGTTAAAATATCAACCTGCTGTGCACTATATAAATATATATATATATATATATATACACACATACATACATACATACATACATG